AATTATACAACCGGACCTTCCGATTTGGACCTTTTATCTCTTAACTATGTCTAATATACTACTATGTATCCAAAAATCGGTACAATGTGTTTATAACACTCAAAAAAAATTGTTCTTAAAGTATAACAGTCGGTTTAGAATCACTTTCTGATTCGATTAAGCTATGTCCGTCTTGGTGGCCGTGAAAACTTTGTATGCACGCTCAGCTCAGCTTTCAATATAATATGTTAAAATTTGTCACATACTCTTCTTTGGATCCAATGACGAAGGCTGTTAAAAATTATTGAAATCGGTCTTTTATTAATCAGAAAAAATAAATTCTCAAGGGCGTAAGTTTCATATCTCCGCAATTAAAACAAAAACCGCCTATTTTTTCTTCAAATACTAATTTGTCAATAAAAATAAGCCTAACTTGAGAAAATGTTGAACATTTTTGGATTATTTATCATTTTAAAAGGTTTTTTGCTTCTCCATGTGTTCAATGTAACTTAGGCCTTTTTGGATTTCATATGACGTTATGTATGTATATCTTAAGCATAATATTTTTAATGAAAACTGTTTAAATTGTAGTAATAAAAAACAAAATTTCTATGCAATGAAACAAGAGTATTTTTCATTTAATTTTGTAGTAAAATCTTTAAAAATATAATATGTATGTATTTGTATTGTAATACGTTATAAAATAAGTATTTTTATTTTAGTGTAATATTATTCTTTTTTTTTGGCAATTGTAATTGATTACATACATAATATAATTAAAAAAATTTTTCTAATGTATTATAAATTAAAATTGTATTATAATGCCTTCTTCATGATAATAAATTGTGTATTTGTAGCAAATTCACTAATAGATATACACATATTTTAAAGTTTTTAGTTGTAATATGCATACATACAGTGTCTCTCATAAGTATTCGAATTTATGTAAACTATGAAAAGAAACCAAATTTAATAATATATTTTGTGTGGAAAATAAAGAAATTAATTTGTTATATTGTCTAGATAGTCCTTAGTTTTGATATCACGCCCCTTAAAAATTGGAAACTTTACATTTACTTAAATTAGTTGTGCTTTTTTAAAAAAAGTCCATGAAACTACTTCACAAAAGTATGCGAATTTTTCCTGTATTTCATATTTGATCATATTATACGATACACAAATTTTAGAATCGCATGGTTTTATGCTTAATATGGTTTTAAGGGGTTACTATCAACCGCATGGATATATTTTTGACCCATTTGGTCCACAATTTTGGGGGATTTGTACCCTCTTTTCATGTAATATCATTAAAATGGCGATTTTTGGCTATATTTGTAATGTTTTCACCCTTTTTCCAGAAATAAAACCAAAATTTAATATTGGAATTTAATAGAACCCATAGGGTATCTAAAAATAATATTTTTTGTTATAAGGATCTGTACTTAAACGTTCCAAGATGTATTTTTGGTATCGTTTTTCAGTTTCTAATTGAATTATCTGGATCATAAGTCCCTTTTCGTACCTCTAGGGACGATATTTTTCGACAAAGTTGTCTAGTGTATATTCATGTACATATTGGCACTAATGTATTTTAAATTTTCAATATATTATAGCGGTATACAACCCCAAAACATGCCTTAACAAAACGTCATCCTATATAGTAGATTTCAGTTTTTACTACTCGTAACTTTCACGCTTATGTTGCCCGTTACAATAACACTGTAAGTCCTAAATTTTGGTTTTAATTTGATCATAGTAAATAATATTTAAACACATATCAACATTTTTAATGTGATCATAATGATATCGTGCCATGCAGCATGGAGGCCATTGGTATATAAAAATAATGATTTTACTATTTTGAATGGTGTTTCTTCGAGGCATGTTTTGGAGTTGTACACTTCCACAACACATTGAAAACTTAAAATGTATAAAAGCTGATATCTAAAAGAATATATACCAGAAAACTTTCCCCGAAAATAGTTGATCCTAGTATTATAAAAATGGACTTAAGTTCCAATATATTGAATTAGCGAAAGAAGAATGATCCGAATAATTTATCTTGGAACGTTTAAATACAGATTCTTGTAACAAAAAATATTATTTTTAGATACCCCAAAGGGTCTTTTAAGTCCCAATATCAAATTTTTGTTTTATCTCTGGAAAAAAGGAGAAAAATTTACAATTATGGCCAAAAATCGCCATTTTAATGATATTACATGAAAAGAGGGTACAAATTCCGCAAAATTGTGGACCAAATGGGCCAAAAATATATCCTTTCCGTGGATAGTAACCCCTTAAAACAATATTACGCATAAAAACCATTCGATTCTAAAATTTGTGTTGCGTATAATATGATCAAATATGAAATACAGGAAAAATTCGTATACTTTTGTGAGGCAATTTCATGGACTTTTTTTAAAAAAGCACAATTAATTTAAATCAATGCAAATTTTTCAAGTTTTAAAAAGCGTGATATCAAACATAAGGACTATCTAGACAATATAACAAATTAATTTATTTATTTTGCACACAAAATATATTATTAAATTTGGTTTCTTTTTATAGTTTACCCAAATTCGAATAATTATGAGAGACACTGTATATGTATATTTGTTTGATATAGAGACATTTGGGCATGAGGGATTTTCTTTATTTACGGTATATATTAAAAATACCACTCTGGCAACATATACACTTTTTGACATACAACAAGTATACAACTTTTGTTGTTTTTGTAGAATTGACTTCACCTTATTATTCCATCATGGCAACAGCTGTTTGGCATATTTACAATTTCCGAACACTTTCATCAAAAAACTAAAAAGTTTCGTAAGTGCTGGTGGCAGACACACACATGAGTTTTTTTGTTTAATTTTATAGAAAAATTAATAAATTTATAAAAGAAAAATGCGTATAACACAATTTTTAAGATCGAAAGTAAAGAATTTCTCGAACTTCCCCAAGGAATACATTGAGAGGAGTAAGAAACAGGTAATGAAACCATAAACAATTTAAACCGAAAAACCCACAAAAAAGTGGCTCTTGATCAAAAAAAAGTATAATTTCAATGTATGAAATGTTTATTTTACTGCCAAAAATAAGGTCTACTATGATACTCCTAAAGGTGTGCCACAATATTTAAATCGCACAGTAGAGCGCAAACGTTTTCGTTATACCATGAACCGTCCTTGGACCGGACAATTCCGTCAACAAAACATGCCGGGTACCATGCGTAAAAAGGTGTTTGTAACACCCATCGGTAAGGAAATATTTGAAATTTTTGATAATTTACTTATTAAATATTTTTTTTTTTCAGAGGAATGGGGTTTCTTCCGCGGTGATCGTATTGAAGTTTTGGTAGGCAAAGATAAGGGCAAACAGGGTTATGTTACCCAAGTTATACCCGAACGTAATTGGGTGGTAGTTGAAGGTTTAAATTGGCACTATCGTACAGTGGGTGGCGAAGATGACTTCCCAGGTGTGCTAATCAAATCAGAAGCCCCCTTGGATGTAAGTAGCAGAAATTGTTACTTTTATTTTATGTATTTTAATATCTTATTTTTATTTTAAAGGTTACCAAAGATTTACGTCTAATTGATCCTTCGGATTTGCAAGGCTGTGATTTTGAATGGCGTTTTACGGAGGATGGTGAAAAAGTGCGTGTTTCAGTACGCACTGGACGTATTATTCCTATTCCAGAATCTAACAATCAAACACATGATTATAAAACAAAGGCAGCTTATATTGAAAGAGAAAAGGATACACCAGGTGAGTTTGTAGGAAAACGGCATAAGGAATAAAGCATCCAAAGTGGATAAGAACTATCAGTTAATATTATATGTTGTCGAACAATTTTCTATTGGTTCCTCAACTATAAAGAGCTTATTGTATAAAAATCAGAAGATATTCCCATAATCAGAAGATATTTGACAGCCTCCTTCACTTCGTAGGAGTGAATTACAAAAACCAAAAGTTTCTAAATAGAAATAAGGTCCTTAAAGTTCTAGCTGGCAGCTCATGGGGTTTGGATAAGGAGACGATTGTAACGACATATAAAGCTCTCTTCTCAATTATGCTGGCCCAGTATGGAACCGAATTGCAACCAGATGCGTTAAGATGACGAATGTGGATCACTTGCATGAGGAGACCAGGTTACTGTCAGTCAGACAACATAATGTGTTGTTTACTAGACAGTTCCTGTTAGCATGTCATTTGCCTAGTCACCCCAACCATCAGATTCTAATGCAGAATCTCTCTCCCAGGCACATACGGATGGACTTCCGACGCTTTCTCTGCGACATCCAACACTTTATACCATCGAACATCGACAGACTGTCAATTACAAGCGACCGGGAAATGTTGCATCAAATGGTGGTCACCGAAGCCATAAACGGCTACAGATGCAACATAGTCCTAAATGAACAGCCCCATACGATTTCGGATTGTTAGAGACCCAGGCATTCGAGAACCATATTAGCTTAATTCAGATCCAATTTCCTCAACTGATACCATGAACGAATCGTTCCTGGCACTTTAAACCGTTGCTATGCCTGTCATCAAAGTCCTCACGTCACGCTGCATTTATTCAATTCTACCACTAGTTCTTTTAAATTGCGCCTCATTGAACTATGGTTAAGACCGACTGAGGTGGCTCAGTTTCTCCAGCTCCTCCTTACACCCACAAACACTTGCTCAAATAATTTTATTATTTATTATTTCAATTTCATGAAAGAGCTGTTAGTCACAGTCGAACTGTTGCAACAACAACAATAAACCTCGATCGTGGTGACGGTTAATTTTTAAATTTATCTAAATATTTCTATAATTTTACTTTATTGCCGTCAATATGATAATTATGAAATCATTCAATCTCTTTATTTCCAGCCACCGTTGTTGAAGAAATCACCTTCCAGCCCAAATTAAGTACCTTCGAAATGGACATAATGGAAGAAATGGGCATTCAAGAGGATCGCATACCTAAAAAATCATACTGGTATTAGATAGTTAAATTTTAAAAAACTCCAAAATTAATTGTTATAAAAAGTTAATTAAATTAACAAAAACTTTATTAAAAATATAATAAATAACTAGTAGTTAAAAAAAAAAACAAAACATAAAAATTCCCGTAAATATTTCTATCTGCGAGCTGCTGTAAATATCTCCTCACGATGATCTCTAAGATTTTTGGCCAAGTTGCGTACCGTTTCTTCGGCTCTATCGAAATCATGTCTCAAGGTCTTATTAAACGTTTCATACAACCAAGCCGAAGCTTTTGAAATATTCGATTCATATGCTAGAAAAACCTTAGAGGTATGTTCATATCTTGCTATGTTGGAGATATCGGTGATCATGTAAGTATTACAGTGTTTAACCGCTAGAATTTGACGATTGCTTATGTATTTTATTTCCACATGAGGCAGGGATAATTGGGCACATTCCAAAGATACCAAAGAGGCTTGTAAGTCTTTGCGACAAGATAAAGCCATTTCAAGTTTTTCTTTGGGATTTCTAAAAGAGTTAGAAATAGTAGTTAAATAATATTGATATTTAAGAATTTATTATAAACTACTCACACTATAGTTTTAACTTTACGCCATTGCTTGAGACTTTGTGTAGCTGAATTGGCACTAGCTCTGAGCAGAAGACCACATATGCGCCATTGCTCTAAAGTGCTGCCCAATTTATCTCTAACATCACGAGCCACTTCCAGTTGAGAATCTAGACTCTCCTCTAAGCGACTCATATAAGTACCGCCACTAATGAAAGCTAAAGACTAAATTAGCGAAGCTCTTATCATTTCTATTACCAATAACTTACCAATTATACCATCATGATTAACATACAACTCATTCAATTCAGCATAACTATCCATTAAAGTTTTCAGCCTTATTTTTGTGTGTTCCAAAATTTCATTATAACAACGTATTGTCATCAGATGTAAAGCAGATTCGCTTAATTGTGCAAAGAAATCTTCATGTGTGGAAGCCTTTTGTACATCTCCTATTATGCCTAAATTTAAAGCTAACTGAAAACAAAAACATGATTACACAAAACAAAAAGAAAAACTAAATTAGCTTTTAAAAACCTTTATTTATTTATAAAATTAATCAATTCATTTAGTTTATCGCTGGTGAAATCGTACAAAAAAGGGTGGGAATTAGTAAATTTCATTTATTTATTGTTTTCTCTGTCGTAGTTGTGAACTTTAATCAATTGTCATGTCATTAAGTAATACGTTTTATAATAGAATATTTATTTAGTTTTCATATTTGGTTAATTTAACTATCAACAACAGCTAATAGTTGCATGTTTCAAATATTAAATGTACTTTTATAAAACAATAAAAAAATCAAATTAAATTAATGCCTACACTGTGTTAAATGGTTTTGGCTGTCGATTTTTCATTACGATTTAAATGATGACATTTAAGTTATTGTTGAAGATCTAGTAAATTTTTAAAATATCAGCTTTCATTCAAAAGGTGGAAAATGTTATTTTTATAATTTTCTACATAATATGTACCCAAATCTCTTTACGCCCATATAAGGTTCCCTTTCAAGGTTTCCCTTCATAAAATTACTTTAACGCAATTTATTGGCTTCAAAATTATTAACCGAAATTATAACTGAAGTTAAAATCTTTGTAAAATTTTATGAGGATCGGTCAATAATTGATCCTATAAGTTACCATAACAAAATAACTTAAGCTCATAAAGGTCCCCTTAGAAAATGACTTACGTTAAAAATGCCAGTATAGCGAAGAAATTTGACAAAAAGTATATTTATATGAAACAAAATTTCCTCTACAGAATTCTATGACGATCTACAGAATTCTATGACGTACTGTACTTTGAATTGTATCTGGTATAAAGATATTCGATAGGAAGATTTATATTCCTATAAAAGTTGCTTATGTTAAATTTTAAAGTAATTTTTTGAAGAGGACCTTATATGGAGGGTAGGGTAAATTATGAACCGATTCTCACAGAACAATTTTGTTTCATACAGAACTTGTTTATGTCGAATTTTATTGTTATACTCGTATTAGTCATAGTCATTTTCTTAAGGGGACCTTATGTGAAGGCTAGGGTCAATTATGGACCGATCTTCAAAAAAATTGGTAGAGATAATTTGGCTCTTATGCAACTGATTTATGTTGAAGTTCATCTCTGTACTCGTATTTTAAAGCCAACACTGTGCGTTAAATTAATTTTCTGAAGCGGACCTTATATGGGGAGTAGGTCAGTTATGGATCGATTCTCATAAAATTCGGTAGAAAGATTTTGGTTAGTAATAAACTTACTTATGCCGAATTTCATTATCGATGGTGTATATAAAAACTTCAAAATACAAAAGTATGTTTAACAAGTAAGAAAGTATAGTCGGGCTTGGCCGACTATATGATACCCTACACCAGTTATGAATATTTAATGTGATTTATTTTTATACCACCATCAAAAAAGATGGGGTATATTGTTTTTGTCATTCCGTTTGTAACACATCCAAATATTCTTCCTAAAATATATATATTCTGGATCCTTATTAAATTCTAAGACGATCTAGCTATGTGCGTCCGTCTGTCTGTTGAAAACACGATAGAGTCCAAATGGAAGTAGCTAGCGGGCTGAAATTCTGCACAGACATTTTATATTTATGCAGTTTGTTTGGTATTGAAAATGGGCAATATCGGTCCACGAATTCGCCTAGCCCCCATATAAGGTCCCCTTCACAAAATGACTTTAACGCTCATAACTGACTAAAAGAAGCATCTATAGCGATGAAATTCGACACGGAACCTAAATCGCTCTGTAAAATTTTATAAGGATCGGTCCATAATTGACCCTACCCCCCATATAAGGTTTCCTTCAGAAAAAGACTTTAACGCTCATAACTGCCTTAAAGAACCATCTATAGCGATGAAATTCGACATGAGCATATTTTATAGGAACCCTAATATCATTGTAAAATTTTATAAGGATCGGTCCATAATTGACCCTACCCTCCATATAAGGTCCCCTTCAGAAAATGACTTTAACGCTCATAACTGCCTTTATATCTATCTATAGCGATGGAATTCGACATGAGCATATTTTATAGGAACCTTAATATGATTGTAAAATTTTATAAGGATCGGTTAATAATTGACCCTATCCCCCATTAAGGTCCCCTTCAGAAAATGAACTTAACGCTCATAACTGACTAAAAGAAGCAGCTATAGCGACGAAACCTAAATCGATCTGTAAAATTTTATAAGGATCGGTCCCCATATAAAGTCCCCTTCAGAAAATGACTTTAACGTTCAAAACTGTCTAAAAGAAGCATCTATAGCGACGAAATTCGACATGATCATATTTTATAGGAACCTTAATATCATTGTAAAATTTTATAAGGATCGGCCCATAATTGACCCTAGCCCCCATATAAGCTACCCTTCAGAAAATTACTTTAACGCTCATAACTGCCTTCAGGAAGCATCTATAGCGATGTAATTCGACATGAACATATTTTACAGGAACCTAAGTCGCTTTGTAAAATTTTATAAGGATCGGTTCATAATTGATCCTACCCCCCATATAAGGTCCAATTCAGAAAATGGCTTTGACGCTCATTACTGCCTAAACTAAAATCGTTTTAGAAAATTTGACGAGGATCGGTCCATAATTGAACAAAAAAAAGCAATTTATTGGCGAAAAACTTATTTTCTAAAAGAGGCTTTATATGGGGGATAGGAGCAAATGTGGACCGATCCCGATAAAATTGGCTGGATAGATTTGTATTTATATAATATTTATATAATATATATAATATTTGTCTGTGCTAAATTTCATTGCAATAACAGTGCTAATAAATGAATTGCGGATATTCAAGTCACTTTCTGAAGGGGGCTTTGTATAAAACTTAGTTGTGCGAACTTTCATCGAGATACATTTACATTATACATAATTATGAGCTCAAAAGCCATTTCGGGGGGTTCAGTTGTATGGGGGCTAGGTGAAATAATGGACCGATTTTAACCATTTTCAATAGGATTAGTCCTTGGGTCAAATTTAATCAAATTATCTTGAAAATTGCGACCTGTAGCGTGCGCACAAGGTTTACATGTACACGCAGACGGACAGATGGACGGGCATAGCTTAATCGACTCAGAAAGTGATTCTGAGCCGACTTTAGGGTAGGTGTAGGCAAAATACTTTTGGATGTTACAAACATCAGCACAAACGCATAATACCCTCCCCACTATAGTGGTGTAGGGTATAAATATATATTTCAATATTTGATAGGTGTGAACATAGCTTTAAACTACTATATTATAGTCCTTATATATAAACACATTTTTATTTTATAAACATCTTATAAATCGAATTTAAAAAATGTAATTTAAATTTAAAGTCTGCCAAACTTTTAATTAATATGTATAGAATGGTTAAATAAGTTTAAATGTCAAGTTATTTTCTATAAATATTAATTATTTTTACCATTCCAATGCCGAAAAAGTAGTTTTTAAATGGCTAGACAATTTAAATATTACGTATCATGAACTAATTTATATGTTGTCATGACGTGTTATTTTTCTAATCTCACTTCCATTAAATACTTGTTTCGTATTTGAAAACTTATTTTGGACATTTTATACGTAAAGTACGTGCCGTTTATTCCTGGAGGCAAAAACTTTCTCCCAAAAAATTTATTTGGGTTTTGAACAATGCATGACTATTTATGTAAACAATTGTATTCGCTTAATAACTGTCAATAATTCCCAATAAATGTTATATATTGAATTTTCATCTATTTATTTTGAAAAGCACTTACATATGTATGTATGTTTATTATACCCTACACCACTATAGTGGGAAGGGTATTATGCGTTTGTGCTGATGTTTGTAACGCATTAAAATATTAGTACTATACCCACCTTAAAGTATACCGATCAACTCAGAATCACATTCTTCACCGTCCGTGTGTCCATGTAAACGTTGTTATCAATGTACAGTTCGCAATTTTCAAGATAATTTGATGAAATTTGGAATACACGTTTGTTTTGACCCAAGGACGAAGCCTATTGATCGGTCCATTATTTCACCTAGCCCCCATACAACTGAAACTCCCGAAAAGGGCTTTTCAGCTCATAATTATGTATAATATAAATGTATCTCGAAGAAAGTTCGCACAACTAAGTTTTATACAAACCTTGATGACCTTTCGAAATGATCGGACTTCATTTGACCCTAGCCCCCACACAAAGCCCCCTTCAGAAAGTGACTTGAATATCCGCAATTCATTTATTAGCACTGTTATTGCAATGAAATTTAGCACAGACAAATATTATATATATTATATAAATATTATATAAATACAAATCTATCCAGCCAATTTTATCGGGATCGGTCCACATTTGCTCCTATCCCCCATATAAAGCCTCTTTTAGAAAATAAGTTTTTCGCCAATAAATTGCTTTTTTTTTGTTCAATTATGGACCGATCCTCGTCAAATTTTCTAAAACGATTTTAGTTTAGGCAGTAATGAGCGTCAAAGCCATTTTCTGAATTGGACCTTATATGGGGGGTAGGATCAATTATGAACCGATCCTTATAAAATTTTACAAAGCGACTTAGGTTCCTGTAAAATATGTTCATGTCGAATTACATCGCTATAGATGCTTCTTTTAGACAGTTATGAGCGTTAAAGTCATTTTCTGAAGGGAATAGGGTCAATTATGAACCGATCCTTATACTATTTCACAATGACATTAAGATTTCTATAAAATATGTTCATGTCCAATTTCATCGCTATAGAGCTTTTTTTAGACATTTATGAGCGTTAAAGTTTTTTTCTGAAGGGGACCTTATATGGGGGGTAGGGTCAATTATGGACCGATTCTTATACAATTTTACAATGATATTAAGTTTCCTATAAAATATGTTCGTGTCGAATTTCATCGCTATAGATGCTTCTTTAAAGCAGTTATGAGCGTTAAAGTCTTTTTCTGAAGGGGACCTTATATGGGGGATAGGGTCAATTATGTGCC